GAAAGGATGCTTCGAAGAGCTGCTGTGGTCAGTGCTGGTCCCTGGGCTGGCCGCCCTGCTCTCCTCCGGGTGGCAGCAGGACGGGGGCACCTCACCGCTCGGGGACGAACCACCACCCTCAGCTCAGCCCGAGCCTTCCTCCTTTAGTCTGACTTGGGCTGTGAAGCCTGCGAACAGCTACTCCCAGTCCCGTTTACACCCCCAGAGATCCAGATGAACTGGCTGGCTTCACCCCATAGCCCTGGGTTCAGGGCACCCTGACCGTGACCAGGAGCCGGTGCTGTGGCCGGCTCCCGCCAGCGCTCCCTGCTCGTCACTGAGTTTGGCTCAGGTACGTCTCCCTCGTGCTCTCGGCACAGTGCTTTTTCCTCCATTCATCCAGCTGTTTCGCACCCGTAAACAGCTGGAACCGCAGTGGAGATCTTCATACAGCAAGTTCAACAGGGAAGACACAACGGGACCTTAACCAGCTCGATGCTGGGGAGAGGAAAGGTTCCCACTGACTTCAGTAGTGTTTGGGTCAGGTCTTCAAAACAGCCAAATTGCTTGTGAATTTTATTTTAAATTAAATTCCGACCGTAAATTCCGATTCCGACTATGAAGCCGTGTGCACGGTTAAGGAGAAGTCCATCCGGGCTTCTCCCAGCGCTTTGCAGGTGGAGCGGGGCAGGCGGAGGGGGCTCCGTTCGGCAGCTCTCGGCATCACCTGCAAACTGCTCGTACCTGCAAACTGCCACACTCGAGTGACGCGCAGGAGGCGGCTTGGAAGAAGGGATGCCCAATGGTCACTTGTGGCAACTTCCATCTGAGGATCTCAAAGCATTTTAGAAAGGTTCATGCTTTAAAATCGCAAAACCCGTATGAAGCAGATAGTTTATTTCCATTCTGCGATGGAGGGATAGAGTCATGAGTAGGGATCATGATGTTCCCGGGATAATACAGCCAAATATTGGCTAAGCCAGGGACAAAACGCAGTCCTCCAAACCCCCCTTTCAGGCTACTCTCGCTCACCCAATCTTGCCAGCTCCACGCTATTTAGTCAGCTCTTAAGTGATTATAAACTTAGATTTTGCTGAAAAAATAAGTCTCGTAAAAGCCGAGAAACCTCACCTTCACAAGGAAAACATTGAAACCTGGCTGATCTTGGTCAACTTGTAGCATTAAACCTTTTCTATATTTATTTGGAGGGCATCAGAAGCAAATGAACTTCGGTTATTTCTCCTTGTTGAGATGTGTCCTTGTTTCTCCCACTCCTTCCTTTCTTACTGTGTGACTGGTCATCCTGGAGGAAACTCGCGGGGATGAGTAGAGAGAGGGAAGGAAAAATAACAAACTATGAAAGCGATGGGGAAAAATTACTCTCCTGTTTCCTCTAAACCAAGAAAATGTCAAGGAAAAACTTTCATACAGATTTTTCCAGTATTTTTCAGTGAAAAATATGTTTCCTCGGAGAAATTTCAGGTCATTCTATGACTAAGTAGTGAGTCTGCTTATTATTCTGTCTGGCGCTCCAGGTTTCGGGCCGGGTTTGGTTTTTTTCAGTAAAAACAACTTGAGAGAGAGAGAGAGAGAGAGAGAGACACTCTTTGACACTAAAAATCAAATAGGTGTGTTTGAAAGTAATTGGAGTGGCCTGGATAAAAAAAGCGCAGGGGCCGGTGCGAGGTGCAGGCAGGGAGGCGAGGGGCAGGGTGCCCCGTGTCCAGCCCTCCCCGCCGCGGCGCAAACACCCCGCCTCGTCCTCCCCGTCACCTCCATCCACTTTGGCACTTAATTAGACGAGGAGATGGCGGAGCGCTGCCGGCACCTCGAGAGCGCAATTATGGGGGCGGCGTCCTCGGGGGCCGCAGCGCCACGTGCCGGGGTTGCAAACGACGACGGTTTCCCGCGGCTGAGATCTCTGCCGAAACCTCGCTGGCGGAGCCGTTCCCGCACTGAGCTGGGTCTGGCGAGATGAAAATTCACCGCTTGTGAGACTGTAGGGCCAAATCGGCCGGGGAGTTTAGAGTAAAAAGCCATCTATTTTTCCTTTTTAGAAAGAAAAAACAATGAAAAAAAAGTTTTTGGTTCATTTTTGCTTATTTTTGCTTTCTCCTTCCTTCTCTTTTTCCATCGGGTCCCACCCCTTCGCTATTAAGAAGCGATGCGGTGGCCCGAAGCCCCACCAGGCCGGCTCTGCCCGGCGGGTCCTGCCGCGATGGGCTCACAGCGCTTCCCCCTCCGTGTCATCTCCTTCATCCCAAGAAACGCCGGCAGTTTGTCGCCGGCTCTGGCCAGGCTGCCATATCTCTCACCTCCTCTCCCCATCAAACGTGGGGCACGGAGAAAGGTTAAATTCAGGTCAGCCCTCCCCGCTCAC